TGTAATACAATTTATATTATCTCTGCTTGGTGTCAGTTACCATTGTGTTCCATGATATTCCACGGGATCAGCTCTGCACAGACACATTCAGATACATTGCCTTTGCTGCCGCCAGCTGGATTCAGCTCTCCTCCCTGGTTTATTCAACTCTCCCCCACCAGTCAGTTCTAAACTGGAACCCAGGAAAGATCAATGCTTTTAAGAACTGGACACGGGCTCCCCAGACCCCAGACATCCACCTCAAATACCATCTCTCAAAAGCCAAGGGCTTTTATTCTGTTTCAGGAACCCTCTTCCCTAGGTTGAGTACAATCATACCTAGCCCCCATCCCCCACCTCCACCCCCTTAGGCCGTACCTCCACAAAGTGGCCTAGCTGGTGGTGGTTATGTACCATGGAGTCAGTTCCAACTCATAGCAACCCTGTACAGGGTTTCCGAGGCTGTAAATCTTTACGGGAGCAAAAAGCCTCATCTTTATCCTGTGGAACAACTAGTAGTTTCGAACTGCTGACCTTGCGGTTTGCATCCGATTCGTAACCAGTAAGCTACCAGAGCTCCAAAGCCCAGCACACCACTGTCAAGTCTATTCCAACTCACAGCCACGCTTTAGAGCAGAGTAGAACTGTTCTTTAGGACCTCTGAGACTGTAAATCTTTATGGGAGCTGACAGCCTCATCTTTCTCTGAAGGAACTACTGGTGGGTTTGAATTGCTGACCAAGTGGTTAGTATCCCCATGCTTAACCCACAGTGCCATCAGGGGTCCTTCTGTAGCTAATACATACTTAGTGCTTACTGAAGACCAGTCAGAGCCATAGGTGCTTTGTCATGTTGTCTTATTTAATCTTCACTGTAACCCTGTGGGTTTCCTGTGTTAACAAGCTGGCAAATGGAGGCATGGATAGGTTACGTGATTTGCTTTAAAAAGTAAATGGCAAAGGTAGAATTTGAACCCAGACAGTCTACCACCTCAGGTCTTATTCTTAACCACTATACTATACCATCATTTTCCACTTGGAATATCTACAGTGGAGGTGAGTAAAGAGGGAGGTGAATCAGGGCACAGATAATCCAAAAGAGGGGAAAATCCAAAATTCATGTTTTATGGGAAAGGTAGTGCTGGATGCTTTTGCAGCACTTTTTCATTCCTAATTATGATTGGCTGAAGCAAATCTCAATTTGCATTCTCTCAGTCCGCTTCAGCCAGTGAGGTGAGGTTGCCAGCAGTCAGAGGGATGCTGCTGGCCTAGGGAATGAGCCGCTGCTGTTCTGCAACAGGGGCTGGCTGCCCATCAACCTGGATGGGGGAGCTTGAGACCCTCCCCAGCAGGACAAGAGGAAAGCTCCTTGTTCCTGACCTCATGCCCAGAGGCTGGAAACTTGAAACAAGAGATCTGCTAAATCTGTAGAATTTAGGGATGGTAAAACAAAGACTTCCTACCACCCCCCACCTTGTTTACCCCCCTCACTCCCTGCAGTCCCTTCTGGATGATCAGCCCTACTCTAAGGAATTGAACATTAAGAGGTTTGGTTCACCACTTCACAGAGTGAAAAAAAACTCTTCCCCAACATTGACATCTGTCCCATCATCTGGGACCCAATCACCAGAGAGTGCAGGTACCGTTAACTGACTTTCACAGAGAAAATGTTTATGCTTTTCCCCTACCCTCCGTCCTCCATACCCCTGCTCCCAGACTCCTATTGCCAATGGTTTCCAGAAAGTGATGGGGCTGGGTCAAAATAGGTGTGCTTATGTGTGTGTGAAAGAGAGAGAACGTAGGAAAATTAGTTCCTTCCAGACCCTGCCCATGTAGGGATTTGGCCAGGTATCTCCTTCAGGCAATCAGCTGACTAGGATGGAGGCTATCGTATTGGGTGTGGAGTGGGTGAGGGGAAGAGGCTGAAGAAGGGAGACCTGAAAGCTGGGTCTCAAATATCTTCATGGTCCAACTTGGATAGGCTACTGGGGCAGAGGAGCGGGAAGAGGGTGGACGGGTCAAGGTGAAAAGCTGACTCTTATAAGGATTCTGTCACCCACCACACTGTCCCTTACCCCCACTTGCCAGTTGTGTGTACGTCTCCTTTGGGCCAACTCCCACAGCACCCCACTAGGGAGTGTACAGCAGAGACTCTACAGCCAGTGGGGGCCCTGGCACCAAGTTCACCCAGTAGCCATAGGACAGAGATGTCCATCAAATCTTCCATTAACATGGCCTGGTAAGGGTGAAGGTGAAGCAAAGGCACCAACCATAACAGAGCTAGCCAATCCAGCAGAAGCCAGCAGAATTGCTGAGGGTTGAGAGAAGGCCTTGGTCAAAGTGGAGCTGAGTTCCTGTGTCTTTCCTCCACTGGCACAAAGGACCCCAAGAGAAATGACAAGGAGTGATGCACACCCAGGAGGTTGACAGAGTCCTTTTAAGTCGCAGCTGTTCTCCAGTGCCTATCAGGCAGTGGCCAGCCACTCGCTGGAATTAACCTCCGTGTTTTTATCTGCCCTGTCTTTCTTCCTTTCCCTTTTCTCCTCTCTCGGAGGTTTTGCAGAACAAGGCCATCTTACCCACTTTGTTTCAGGTCCCTCTGGTGGATGAAAAGATTCCAGCTCATTCTCTTTTCTGGAGCACTGTGTCTCCCACCTGCCTCTCTCTCTTCCTGCCCCCAATCCAAATAATGTTTTGTTACCACGTTTCCTAGGACTCTGACTTTTCCAGGATTCTGCTCTTCTTCCTGTGTCTCTCCTTTCTCTTCTTTGACCTCTCTTTTCTTTCCTTCTGAAATAGCTCTGCCCACACAGATGGTATTCCTATCTAGAGATATTTCCCTCAGTGTTTTCCAAAATCTAATTTTAAAACATGCATGAGAAATATAGGTCATGGGGTCCTCATTCTTTACCTTCTATCCAGCAAGATCAGTATTCTCCATTTGCCCTGTGAATGGTATCGGAGAACCTGAGAGGAAATGGGTTGTGTCCTGCTCAGAACATGTGACTGACATGGGAGAGAGCAGTCTTTCTCTCTGCTTCAGAAGCATTGGTATATTCAGAAAAATGCTCTAGGAGCCAACAGGACAGACATGGTTTCCAGTTGACCCTCACCTAACCCATGCCCTGACCAACCTCTTCGTCCCCAGTCTGGCCAGCCAGTCTCTGCGGTGGTGTTTCTGTTTCCTTTTGGCAGAAATGCCTGGGAACCAAGAGGCCCCTTTCCCCGTGACCTGACCTCCCACACTAAGAATAACAGCTCTAGGACAGCATGTCTTGTAGCCCCTCTGGAAAGAGGGCATGGCTGGGACGTGGGGAGGTGAAAAGAGCTGAAGAGAGCCAGGAAGAAATAGAAGAAGACAGACTTTTGGCTCTTGTAAGTAAAAAATAAAAAGGAGAGTTGGCAGCCAGCAAGAGAGCTGGGAGACTCTCAGAGAGCCCTTGATGCCTTCGTACCCACATGTTAATCTCTAGAATTCCATCTCCTGGAAGCTCTGGCTAGTGCCTGAGAAAGCAGGAATATTCTGGTCCTGCTGAGCAAATGTGGTCCAGCCCCAACTTACTCCTTTTGCAGAATATTGCTTGAAAAATTAAAGGAGTGCTATCTGAGAGAAGGCAGATATGTTAGTCCTTACCGTCCCACTAACAATAACCATCTCACAAAGGAGCTCTGGTAGCGTAGTGGTAACGAATCGGGCTGTGAACCGCAAGGTCAGCAGTTCGAAACTACCAGCTGTTCCATGGGAGAAAGATGAGGCTTTCTGCTCCCGTAAAGATTTACAGCCTCGGAAACCCTGTACAGGGTCGCTGTGAGTTGAAACCAACTCCATGGCATGTAGCCACTACCACCACGGTCCCACCCATGGGGACTCTGTTCCTGGAGTTTCCTCAACTGTGAGTGTATATCCTGGGTGGTCACAGAGCAGCACCCTTCTCTAGTCTTCCATACCTTCCATAGAGGCAAATGGTCTAGACAAGCCCCTCAGTTCTTTGTAAAAAACCCACCCATCCATGACTGTAAGATCTTCTGAGGAATCCAAGACAGTCTATCCTTTGGTTAACCAGTTGTCCAAGTGCCTCAAAAATTCTTTTAAGAACATTTATGTCTTCCCTTGTCTACATGTGGTGTAAAACCCATGACATTGGTCTTCCCTTTCTGTTCCAGAATCTCTCCTCCACAACACCACTTCCTTCATTTCCTTCCTAAGAAGTTTATGTCCCCACAGACTGAGAACCAAGCAGCCCATTAACAAACTTGTTCTCAGGAAAGGCATCCCTTTGGAGTCAGCAGAGTGCTTTATCTGAAGGGTGTTGCTGGGAGAGCCCGGGAGGGTGCTTTGGAGGCACTGCTGTCTCCCTAGTAAAGCCTTTGCCAAAGCAGATCTGCCCCTGGAAACACCAGGTATATCCAGTACAGAAGCAAAGGTCGCCCTGGTTCAGTCAGCTAAGAGTCCCACTTGTTAATAATTCGGTCCTCTTGTGACTTCTGAGTTTTGCATGAGTCACCTGAGCCCAGATGACCCAGCTGCTCATCTGTCTTACACCAACAGTTGCTGTTTTTAGTGCTTTTTAAATTCCCAGCAACACCCATAGGACCACAGTCCATTCACCTGTAAGAGGTCAAATACCTGCATCCCCTCCCTCCAGATAGGCCCCTCTGATGGAAGACAATTGGGGATGCAGGAGATGCTGAACATGGACTGAAAAGAGAACTATCCCTGAACCATTCTGACTTGCATGCCCCTGCCCTTATTCCCATGCCTGCTCCTGGCAGGAAGTAGAAAGCTGGATGGTGAGATGGGATGGAGCTATAGGATGGGGACTGTGGAGCAGGAAGGAAGGTTGGACTAGATGCCTTCTTGCCTCTCCCTTCCCTCCTGAGCTCCTGGCCATAGTGTGGGCCTGTGGACTCCAGCAGCAACACTGAGGTACCTGGACAATGATTCTGATGGTGATGTTGCTCTGTTCTTGTCTATCTAATATTCCTTTTTAATCCCCATCCTGCCTGCCCCTCCCTTATGTAGGGTTACTTTAGTGATCCCTGGAATGTTTTTGACTTCCTCATCGTAATTGGCAGCATAATTGACGTCATTCTCAGTGAGACTAATGTGAGTATTACTCTGCCCTCCCCAGGAAATCACTTTTATTCCTCCTCTGTTCCCTTCTTTCTTTCTCTCTCTTTACCTCCTTTTAGTTTTTTGTTTTTTTTTTAATTTCCTGTTTTTACCCCACTCCAGTCATGCTTTTTATTGAACCTGCCGTCGGTCCTGTGGGGAAAAAAAGTGGGGGCTCCTCCTCCTTTTTTTCACTGTCCCAGCTCTACCCTGCTGTGCTGGCCCCAAGTACACAGAGGGAGCAGGCGGTGGAAGGTGGTGGAAGGCGCCGCCAGGCCCCCTCCCAGGGTGGCCGCAGCCAAGCGTAATCTTTGAACTAACCCAGCTTTTGTCAGGCTTCTCCACCTGTGAAAACCAGGTTACCCAGGTTTGAGCCGCCAGAACTGTAGAGTGGTAAGAGAGTTATTTAATATGCCCACGTAACCTCTTTCTTTTCTCATTTTTTTTTT